GTATATCCAAAGAGACACCTCATAAAGGAGAGCTCAGGCTGATATCTGGCAGGTATCCTTCTGGGACAAGGATAACAGAAGAAGAAACTGGCAGCAACCCTTACTGTTCTGCAGCCACCACAGGTGATCCTCAGGCAAGCAGGGTCTGGAGTGGACTTTCAGCAGTCCTACAGCAGAGGGGCCTGACTGTTAGAAGGAAAACTTAAAAACGGAAAGAAATAACTTCATCATCAACAAAAAGGACATCCACTCAGAGACTCCATCCAAAAGTCACCAACTACAAAGACCACAGGTAGATAAATCCACAAAGTTGGGGAGAAATAAGCATAAAAAGTATGGAAACACCCATAACCAGAATACCTCCGCTCCTCCAAGGGATCACAACTCCTCACCAGCAAGGGAACAAGGCTGGATGGAGAATGAGTCTGATGAATTTACGGAAACAGGCTTCAGAAAATGGGTAATAAAAAACTTATCTGAGCTAAAGGGCATGTTCTAACCCAATGCAAAGAAACTAAGAACATTGAAAAAAGGTTTGATGAAATGCTAACAAGAATAAACAGCTTAGAGAATAATATAAATGAACTGATGGAGCTGAAAAACACAACACAAAAACTTCGCAAAGCATACACAAGTTTCAATAGCCAAATCAACCAAGCAGAAGAAAAGATATCAGAGACTGAAGGTCAACTCAATGAAACAAAACAAGAAGGCAAGATTAGAGAAAAAAGAGTAAAAAGAAATGAACAAAACCTCCAAGAAATATGGGATTATGTGAAAAGACCTAATCTATGTTTGATAGGTGTACCCGAATGTGAAGGAGAGAATGAATCCAAGCTGGAAAACACTCTTCAGGGTATTATGCAGGAGAACTTCCCCAAGCTAGCAAGGCAGGCCAATATTCAAGTCCAGGAAATACAGAGAACACCAGAAAGGTATTCCTCAAGAAGAGCAACTCCAATGCCCATAATTGTCAGATTCACCAGGGTTGAAATGAAGAAAAAATGCCAAAAGCAGCCAGAGAGAAAGATCAGGTTACCCACAAAGGGAAGCCCATCAGACTCATAGCAGGTCTCTCAGCAGAAACCCTATAAGCCAGGAGAGAGTGGGGGCCAATATTCAACATCCTTAAAGAAAAGAACTTTCAACCTAGAATTTCATATCCAGCCAAACTAAATTTCATAAGTGAAAGAGAAATAAAATCCTTTACAAACAAGCAATTGCTCAGAGATTTTATCACCACCTTACAAGTCCTGCCTTACAAGAGCTCCTGAAAGAAGTACTAAACATAGAATGGAACAACCAGTACCAGCCACTCCAAAAGCATACCAAATGGTAAAGAGCATCCATACAATGAAGAAACTGCATCAACTAATGGGCACATAAATCAGCTAGCCTCAAATTGGCAGGATCAAGTTCACACATATTAACCTAAAATGTAAATGGGCTAAATGCCCTAATCAAAAGACACAGACTGGCAAGTTGGAAAAAAAGTCAAAGCCCATCGGTGTGCTGTATCCAGGAAACTCATCTCACATGCAAGGATACACATAGGCTCAATATAAAGGGATAGAGGAAGATTTACCAAGGAAATGGAGAGAAAAAAAAAGCAGGAGTTGCAATCCCAGTCTCTGATAAAATAGACTTTAAAGCAACAAAATCAAAAGAGACAAAGAAGAGTATTACATAATGGTAAAAGGATCAATGAAACAAGAAGAGATAACCATCCTAAATATATATGCACCCAATATGGGAGCACCCAGATACATAAAGCAAGTTCTTAATGACCTACAAAGAGACTTAGACTGCGACATAATAATAGTGGGAGACTTTAACACTCCACTGATCAATGAGACAGAAAATTAATAAGGATATCCAGGACTTGAACTCAGATCTTGACCAAGCAAACCTAATAGACATTTAGAGAACTCTCCACCCCAAATCCACAGAATATACATTCTTCTTAGCACCACATCACACCTACTCTAAAACTGACCAGATGATTGGAAGTAAATCACTCCTCAGCAAATGCAAAAGAATGGAAATCATAACAAACAGTCTCTCAGACCACAGTGCAATCAAATTAGAACTCAGGATTCAGAAACTAACTCAGAACCGCACAGCTTCATGGAAACTGAATAACTGGCTCTTTAATGTTGACTGGATAAACAATGAAATGAAGGCAGAAATAAAGATGTTCTTTGAAACCCGTGAGAATGAAGACACAACATACCAGAATCTCTGGGACACATTTAAAGCAGTGTCTAGAGGAAAATTTATAACAATAAATGCCCACATTAGAAGCAAAGAAAGATCTAAAATCGACACCCTATCATCAAAATTGAAAGAGCTACAGGAGCAAGATCAAAAAAACTCAAAAGCTAGGAGAAGACAAGAAATAACTAAGATCAGAGCAGAACTGAAGGAGATAGAGACACAAAGAACTCTTCAAAAAATCAATAAATCCAGGAGATAGTTTTCTGAAAAGATCAACAAAATAGACCACTAGCCAGATTAATAAAAAAGAAGAGAAAAGAATCAAATAGATGCAATAAAAAATGATAAAGGGGATATTACCACTGATTCCACAGAAATACAAACAACCATCAGAGATTACTACAAACAACTCTATGCACATAAACCAGTAAACCTAGAAGAGATGGATAAATTCCTGGACACTTGCACCCTCCCAAGCCTAAACCAACCAAAAAAAAAAAAACCCCAGGTCCAGATGGGTTCACAACCAAATTCTACCAGACATACAAAGAGGAGCTGGTATCACTCCTTCTGAAACTATTCCAAACAATCCAAAAAGAGAGAATCCTTCCCAAATCTTTTTATGAGACCAACATCATCCTGATACCAAAACCTGGCAGAGACTCAACAAGAAAAGAAAACTTCAGGCCAATGTCCATGATTAACATAGATGCAAAAATCTTCAATAAAATACTGGCAAACTGATTGCAAGAGCACATCAAAAAGCTTATCCATCACCATCAAGTAGGCTTTTTCCTGGGGATGCAAGGCTGGTTCAACCTACGTAAGTCTATAAATGTAATGCACCACATAAACAGAACCAAAGACAAAAACCACATGATTATCTCAATAAATGCAGAGAAGGCCTTCAACAAAATTCAACAGCCCTTTATGCTAAAAACTCTCAATAAACTAGGTATCTACAGAACGTGTCTCAAAATAATAAAAGCTATTTATGAAAAACCCACAGCCAATATCATACTGAATGGGCAATAACTGGAAGTATTGCCTTTGATATCTGGCCTAGATAAGGATGCCTTCTTTCACCACTCCTATTCAATATAGTATTGGAAGTTCTAGATAGAGCAATCAGGAAAGAAAAATGAAATAAAGGATATTCAATCAGGAAAAGAAGAAGTCAACTTGTCTCTATTTGCAGATGACATGATTGTATATTTAGAAGATCCCATCATCTCAGCCCAAAATCTCCTGAAACTGATAAGCAACTTCAATAAAGTCTCAGGTTACAAAATCAATGTGCAGAAATCACAAGCATTCCTATACACCAATAATGGACTTAAAGAGAGCCAAATCAAGAAAGAAGTGCCATTCACAATTGCTACTAAAAGACTAAAGTACCTAGGAATACAACTAACAAAGGATGTAAAGGATCTCTTCAAGGACAACTACAAACCACTGCACAATGAAATAAGAGAGGACACAAACAGATGGAGACACATTCCATGCTCATGATGAGGAAGAATCAATATCATGGTAATGGCCATACTGCCCAAAGTAATTTGCAGATTCAACACTATCCCAATCAAACTACCTATGACCCTCTTCACAGAACTGTAGAAAACCACTTTAAACTTCATATGGAACCAAAAGAGAGGCTGCATAGCCAAGTTAATTCTACGCAAAAAGAACAAAGCTGGAGACATCACACTACCTGACTTTAAATTATACTACAAGGCTACAGTAATCAAAACAGCATGGTACTGGTACCAAAACAGAGATATAGACCAATGGAACAGAGCAGAGGTCTCTGAGGCAACGCCACACATCTACAACATCTGATCTTTGACAAATCCAACAAAAGCAAGCAATGGGGAAAGAATTCCCTGTTTAATAAATGGCATTGGGAAAACTGTCTCGCCATGTATAGAAAACAGAAACTGGGCCCCTTCCTGACACCTTACACTAAAATTAACTCCAGATAGATTAAAGGCTTAAACATAAGACCTAACATCATAAAAACCCTAGAAGAAAACCTAGGCAAAACCATTCAGGACATAGGCATAGGCAAGAACTTCATGACTAAAACACCAAAAGCAATGGCAACAAAAGCCAAAATAGACAAATGGGACCTAATTAAACTCCAGAGCTTCTGTACAGCCAAAGAAACAATCATTAGAGTGAATCTGCAAAAATCAGAGTGGGAAAAAATTTTTGCAATCTACCCATCTGACAAACGGCTAATATCCAGAATCTACAAAGAACTAAAACAAATTTTCAAGAAACAAAGAAACCCACTCAAAAGTGGGCAAAGGATATAAACAGATGGTTTTCAGAAGAAGACATATCTGAAGCCAACAAACATATTAAAAAATGCTCAACATCACTGGCCATTAGAGAAATGCAAATAAAAGCCACATTGAGATAACATCTCATACCAGTTAGAATGGCAGTCATTAAAAAATCTGGAGACAACAGATGCTGGAAAGGGTTTGGAGAAGTGGGAACACTTTTACACTGTTGGTGGGAGTGTAAATTAGTTCAACCATTGTGGAAGACAGTGTGGAGATTCCTCAAGGACCTAGAAATAGAAATTCCATTTAACTCAGCAATCCCATTTCTGGGTATATACCCAAAGAATTATAAATCATTCTATTATAAAGACACATGCACACGTACAGCTAGTGTTCGACTTACGACCACGGTTGGGACCGCGGACCAGTCGTAACACGATTTGGTCGTAAGTTGAGTAGGCTATATGTACAGTTCAAATGGTGCATGCGGAGATGGTAGTGCTGCCGGAAGCTGGTCCACACTGTCGTATGCCCAGCTGGGCAACGTTTGCGCTGCCAGACACAGAGCAGTCGTGGCTAGCAATTGTGGTAGTAAAGTCGAATGGTCGTAAGTTGCATGGGTGGTAAGTCGATCAATACCTGTATGTTCATTGCTGCACTGTTTACAACAACAAAGACCTGGAACCAACCCAAATGCCCATAGATGAAAGACTGAACAGGGAAAATGTGGCACATATACACCATGGAATACTATGCAGCCATAAAAAAACGAGGTGTTCCTCTCCTTTGTAGGGACATGGATGAACCTGGAAACCATCATTCTCAGCAAACTGACACAAGAACAGAAAATGAAACACCACATGTTCTCACTTATGGGTGGGTGTTGAACAATGAAAACACATGGACACAGGGAGAGGAGCATCATACACTGGGGTCTGTTGGGGGGAACTAGGAGAGGGACGGGGGGAGTGGGGAGTTGGAGAGGGATAACATGGGGAGAAATGCCAGATATAGGTGATGGGGATGGAGGCAGCAAACCACATTGCCATGTATGTAGCTATGCAACAATCCTGCATGTTCTTCTCATGTTCTCTGGAACCTAAAGTGTAATAAAATAAATAAATAAATAAGAAGAAATTATAGGGATTGGGGTTTCTCTCAAACTATATTAGTCGTGTTGACCATTATTAAAATTAAGTGGCATTCACTTGGATTAAATAGTAATAAAAATGTTAGACTTTCTAGTGATTTTTTTATCTCAAGCCTTTCACTGTTGGGCCTTCATATATGTACTTGAAAACAAAATTTGTACAAGTGTTGACACTGGTTTGAAGATTCTAGTGATTACTGGTTTGAAGATTTTAGTGATTAAAGTTACCGAATCCAGTTGTCAGTACTATATCTAGAAACCAATCTTAGAAATATTTTAGAGGATGATACCCTTTAAAAATAGCTAAGAAGAAATTACTGTGTGCCTACTCACACTTTCTTCCTGTTTCACTGTATCATATTTAAATGAAAGGAGACTATTTATTTTCATACTGAATTTCCAAGAGTAATACTTGCTTTTACCATTTTTTAAATGGTGGAGAAAAAAGTCAGTTGCCTGACTTTGACAAGTTTGGCATAGGGCCTAATACATCGTTGATGGTTTTGGTCACAGTTCTGTCACTAGCAATTAGATATATGCGAGGAGCAATCTAACCACTTTAGTACAGTAATTTGAATTGCTGCAGAGGGTAACTACTGGACACCAAATCGCAGTGTTTTAATTTGTGACAGGATAGAGAAAAATGGTAGGACTTTCTGCAGTATAAATAGCCTATTAACTAATCCTTGTGCTGTTAAGTTACAGGGCTTGACTCGTGGGTCAGAAAAATGCACCTAGTCCTGCTAAATCTTGAGCACTAATCTTTGTGAAAACGTCATCTTCCGACCCAGCAGAAGATGACAATCAAAGTCAACTGCTTTTGTGAGACACAGGGCCAGAAATTAAAACCATTGAATCCCACTACGCCCAGGGACTATTACATAAAAGGTGGGCACAAGAGATTGTAAGGGCCAATTTTGAGCAATAAATTTAGTTCTAAGTTTTTCTATAAATTAAACATTAGTATCAGAAGCACATTGATGTCAGACCATCATATGGGCTCCTGTGTTAGAATAAGAGGATTTTCTTGGAGCATTGATCTGCTTTTTAACAGAAAATTATAAAAGTTTATAAAAGGTTTATTGAAATCATATCTCATGGTCAAACTGGTTAAAACTAGATACATCTGGGCCAGACATGGTGGCTTGCACCTGTAATCCCAGCACTTTGGGAGGCCAAGGCGGGCAGATCATGAGGTCAAGAAATTGAGATCATCCTGGCCAACACAGTGAATACCATCTCTACTAAAAATACAAAAATTAGCCAGGTGATGTGTGCCAGCAGGCTCAGCTGCTTGGGAGGCTGAGGTAGGAGAATCACTTGAACCCAGGAGGAGAAGATTGCAGTAAGCTGAGATTTGTGCCACTGCAATCAAGCCTGGTGACAGAGTGAAACTCTGTCTCAAAACACACACATACACACACACACACATGCAAACGAGATACATTTGTTTATAAGCTTTTATTGACACTAGTCTTAACAATAATACACCAGACCAATGTAAAATTTGGTTTTCTCTTTTGAACAAAATCTTTGTGTAATATAAGTAAAAGATAAAAGATTTTTTGTTTAGCTTTTGAGTAAACTGCAGAGAAAAAAAGAAGGGTGGAGAGATATTTAGTTGGCTCATGATGTCTGTTAGGTGTTATTGTTTGGAAACCTGAGTCTTCTCTCTATCGAAAGGTAAAACTTTTAGTTTTATCATTTTGACTTGGCATGCTAGAATTACGCTGGAAGCATTGTCAAATCTGAAGTGGTATTTAACTTCCCTTGTGTTATATTTATATAAATGTGATATTAATATGCATTCCAGAATTATATAAATTCCTAAAATTCTGATATGTTTTAAAATACGTTGTCAGCAACAATTATGCTTATTATGTTAAATTGTTGTATGTCACAGAGATAACCAATTTTCCTTGTCAACTGTGTCTTTAACTATGGCTGTCTTAGGACGTTTGTTATCTGCAATTGTTTTGCTTTGATTCTTCTAAAAAAGTGACTTATAATCAGCTGCAGTCTAGGGCTTGCTTCTTTGGTGGAGTCCATGCAAATGACTCTTGAAGGTAGGTTTCTGATAACTTTGGAAATTGTGCCATTGAATTAGACAGAAAATTTTCAGGACACTTATTCAAAGGCTAATAAGTTCATAAAGATTGTTAACCCAATAGGAAGCAGAGCAGAAGTTGATTGCATGGATTGAACTAATGGAAAAATAAAATAAACTTACTGCTTTTACAAAATTTGAAACATTGCTGCCTTTAATAATTGAGCAGAGTATACTTTAGTAAACAGAATTTGAGGCACATTTCTCTCTATGCCTAATTTCTCTAGAACTCACAAACTATTTGTGAATATGTTTAATTCATGGCAATGTGTTTCTTTGCATAAGTGCAATAACAATCTGTCTTCTTTTATAATGGGATGCAGTTGGAAGAACTGGTTATTTTCCTAGGGCTTTGACTGAAATGACATTGTGGGAGGTTCCTGCAAAGACAATTTCAGACAACCGACATGGACATTGATTCTTCCTGCACTTTGTGTGTGTGGTCAGGCCACGTGTATGAGATTGAAGCTTATTTTGTAGGCAGGTTGGTCCTGCTGTGTTTCCTTTAGCACACATGGGGACTAGAGAGAGAAAGGCTGTGGTTCAGAAGAAAACTATAGTATTAGATTCACTTTTGATTCCCGGGTGGCCACGTGGTCACCCATGTTATGGAGCTGCCCACAACACCCCTCATCAGCACGAAGCAGCCAGAAGTATTAATAGCAGATTCTGCATGATTGAAGAATTTATAAATAGAAAAGCAGGGACTGAAACTGATCCAATTGTCCCATAGAGCTGATGTTTACGGTTTCTTTGAATAAATTTAGAAATTGATCCTCCCAGTCTTAAAACTTGAGAAAGTTACATTTATCTTAACTGAGTTCCTGTTTCAGAAAGCAACTATCAGGCCTCTCAGATAGTATCATGGAGCTGAAACTCACCATATTACTGCATTTAGACAATGAAACACCAGCCCCTCGCCCATTAAGATTGCCTAAGCGACCATTGCTTCCTGTTAAACGACTCCTCTTCCTGGATTTGAGACTTATCTACCATCTTCTTGGTTGCAGCACGTAATCAAAGCCTTCTTCCTTGGGAATAATATTGTCTTAATGATTAGCTTTCTGTGTGGTGAGCAGCACACCTGACTGAACCCCTGTTGTTTTGGTAGCAATTGCAGAAACTCAGACTCCAGGCTCCTGTCTACTGTGGCTGATACAATGTACATTTGCTGACACATGCTCACATCTTCCTAGACACAAGCAGGTATGCATTTCCCAGCCTCACTGTAGCTATGCTGGGTTTATGTAACTGGCCTGAACTGATAAGCCACTTCTAGGCTTAATGGCTTAATTTTTTTTTTTTTTTTTTTTTTTTTTTTTTTT